GAATTTTCCAGGTTGGACTAAAACGGATGCTGTAAACGGTTTACCTCAACATTGTATGTCCAGAAAAACTTCTCATAATATTTGACTAATCAGTTATGACTTTGCATTTCAGGCTGGCCAGCAGAGGGCGTGCAGTGAACTATTATTACATTTACTCACAAATACTTGAATAATTTCAAACATTTTCTTTCAGGGAAAAATTAATCCGTTATGGTGACCTGTATGCATGTTTGATTAAATTCTGCCTTTTTTTTCAGTGCAAGTGCCTTTGTTTCGCCTGATCAATAAACAAATCAATAGTTATTAATAATGTAAGCAGAGTGAAGAAAGCATTTGTACAGGTGTCCTAAACAAAGTCGCTCTTATGGTTTTCTCAGAATGTTTTTCAGTTGTCACAATTATCTTAAATATACTGGTTCATATTTGGGAAAATGTCTAGTACAAGGCATAAGGCCAGTTCATTAATGAAGTGTGTTTTTTGGGAGAAAGCCAGAACACTTTTAGTGTAGTATAGTGTGCATAAATCAGCTTAAATATTGACTATCCTGGAGAAATGATAAGGAAGGAAATAAATGGGCTGCTTCATTTTTCAGGCCGACTGAGCGGTAATTAACTTCATGCTCCTAAATGAGAATGTATATTTTAACCTTGAGTAGTGCTAGTGATCATTTCCTGAACAGACGTCCCATTTAATGCTATTATATTAAGGTGTGAAAAGCTTCACTGTATGATCTAGCAAATCGTATTGTTTGCAGAGGATGTTACAATTAGTTGTAGGCCATTATGCATATGTAACATCAGTGACTGTTTATGGGAAACAATTAAGAGCTACTGAGATTTAAATAAATGTGCTGATGCTTTTCAGAGCATAATTTTAGGTATTTCAATTCTACGAACATGAATTTTGAAGCTGAGTGTTAATGCGATTGAATTAACGGGTGCATTTTTAGTGACAGCCTCTGTCACATTTTCACCGGTTGTTCAATGAATCCCACTTGCAGAAGCCTTTTCCCACCTTTGTTCTTCTGCTTCACTTGCTTTTCATCCATCTGGAAATGGATTAGGAGTCTCTGCTTAAATCAGAGGCTGAAAAAACCTCTTTGTAGTAGCACAGACACCACTGCGGCTCACATGACCTCATAGTCAAATTATCTTATGGACAGACTGCATTCTAGCAGTGGCCATTATAAATCAAGCATTGGCTTCGTCCTTCAGGTCTACATCTCTGGTCTTTGTTTTCTTTTATCTTCATCTCTCTCACTCATTTTTAGCACCCGTTTCTTGTGCTAGTTCACAATAACCAGAGACCGAGAGAGAGAGATTAACGTCATAGCTTGTCCCACTTTAGATCCTGAGGAGACCTGGATGAAAAAAATGTGCTGTTTTGTCTGTATTTGTGACCAAAAGACTGAATTAATAATGAAGAGTTGAGTGTGTTACACTGTGGACTCTCTTGCAGATTTAAAACATCATGCAGATGGGATCGGTAACAGTTAACCTGATATTTCCAGCCAGAGAGGTTGCATTTAAATGCATGTTACAACATGGGACCACTCTTGGGGTCACTGGTTTAGCTTGGTTATTTTGCGGCTGCTAATAGATTAATTGAATTCATTAACTGGATGTGAGGTCATTCTGATGGTCTGACCTAGTGTTAATCACGGAGTAATTGAAGGGTAATGATGGAGGCAGAGCTCAGAGGCTTCTCTCCAACTCATGAATTATTGACAGACCAAAAGTCCAGATTACTTAAATTAAATGTTTAAAATTAGAGCCATGTTTACAGTTGTGACTGCATTGTATGGAATGAATGAATGAGAAACAAATATTTTCATTTTTTATTTGATTATGCAGAGCATGTGTGCATGTATTTATACTGTATGTACACACCATTCAAAAGTTTATAGTTGGAAGAGTAAGGAAGTCTCTTATGCTCACTTAGGCTGCATTTAGTTGATCAAAAATACAGTAAAAATAAAAATTTGTTTGTTCGTTCGACCTTGTGTGGTTGCAGGTTTGAATCTGATCTGTGTAGTGTTTTGATCCCAATCGCCTAGTTTTATTTTAGAATTATTTTAGAAAAGAGCCCAGCTGTTTGATACAGAAATTCCCATAAAATTGGCCTTTGATCATAACGCTGTAATTTGGTTTTTGGTGGTTGACGGTATCTGTAGCCCTTGCAAATCATACTTATTCAAAGCGGCTATTTTGCATGAGCTTTTGTTATTGCATTTGATGGCATTAATGCAAACTGTCAACTCCCTGTGCGAGTTTTTCAAGATGAACCTTCAAGCTTTGTTTGTCCTGCCTGATTCAGGATGTTCTCATGGACCTGTCACAGATTGAGGTTCTTTAACAGAAGACTGGGCATTAGTTTCCGGTTAAAGGGCAGCGACTGGTGTTTTTCAGCATGTATGTGTCATGAGACACCTGCAGGAATGACTCTTCCTGTAAGTGTGGCGCTGCGCACAAAACCAGGTAATGTCACATAACAAAGAGATCAGCTCTTTGTAGAATTATTATACAGTGGGTACGGAAAGTATTCAGACCCCCTTAAATTTTTCACTCTTTGTTATATTGCAGCCATTTGCTAAAATCATTTAAGTTAATTTTTTTTCCTCAATGTACACACAGCACCCCATATTGACAGAAAAACACAGAATTGTTGACATTTTTGCAGATTTATTAAAAAAGAAAAACTGAAATATCACATGGTCCTAAGTATTCAGACCCTTTGCTCAGTATTTAGTAGAAGCACCCAGCAAAGGGTCTGAATACTTAGGACCATGTGATATTTCAGTTTTTCTTTTTTAATAAATCTGCAAAAATGTCAACAATTCTGTGTTTTTCTGTCAATATGGGGTGCTTTGTGTACATTAATGAGGAAAAAAAATTAACTTAAATGATTTTAGCAAATGGTTGCAATATAACAAAGAGTGAAAAATTTAAGGGGGTCTGAATACTTTCCGTACCCACTGTAAGTCAAGCACTGACCTTTACTGTATACCTATACACCAGGGGTGTCCAATCCTGCTCCTGGAGGGCCGGTGTCCTGCAAAGTTTAGCTCCAACCCCAATAAACCCACCTGAAGCAGCTAATCAAGCTCTTACTAGGCATACTAGAAACTTCCAAGCAGGTGTGTTGATGCAAGTTGGAGCTAAACTCTGCAGGACACCGGCCCTCCAGGATCGAGTTTGGACACCCCTGCTATACACCATCATGTCTACAGTGTGCTTGCGTGCTGAGGAGGGTGATTGCGTAGATGGAGAGATGGGAGCGTCTGATAGTTGCTTATTTTCACCTTGCTTGCCACCAGACTACACTCTTAAAACTAAAGGTGCTTCAAAAGGTTCTTCAAGCGATGCCATAGAAGAACCATTTTTGGTTCCGCAAAGAGCCATTTAGTCAAAGGTTCTTTAAAGAACCATCTCTTTCTTACCTTTTTATAATCTGAAGAACCTTCTTTCAACACAAAGAACCTTTTGTGAAACAGAAAGGTTCTTCAGATGTTAAAGGTTCTTTATGGAACCATTTAGACAAAAAGGTTCTTCTATGGCATCGTGAAGCACCTTTATTTTTAAGTGTATGGAAAAATCTGCCATTTTGCAGCGAATCCCCTTTCCTCATGAATCAAATTGTGCATGATTAATTTGTCATTCAACCGTTTGAGTAAAAGTCTCCTTTAGTCACAATATATCAGCCTCAAGAGTGGCTGAACAGATTTTACTTTTAATTTCCCAGAAGTGATTTCATTCACAAATAAGATGTTTTAAAATAGTTAAGAGGGACATAAATGAAAGGTTTTCTCTTACAGATTATTTCACTCCTCTCTGCTCTTTGTGTATAATGTCCATATACACTGCAAAAATGGCTTATTTTTCTTTTCTTTTTTTAAATGTTTCTATTATATTTAAAAATATAAAGTTTTTAAATATTAGCATTTTACTTGAGAAGTGGAATTGCATATCAGGACAATATATTTATTGTTATTGTCTTAAGCATCATTCTAACAAGCTTAGTAACGTTAATGCTTCAAACTAAAGACAAATCATTTAAATATTATATTAATATTATCTTGTTATACAATACTGTGCATATTACTGTAATTTCTGAAGTGTCATGTGAAACTGGACTAATGGCTGCTTAAAATTCAGCTTTTTTTAGAAGTGTTATCTTTAAAATACAGTATACTTTTACAGTAAGGTATACAGAAAAAATACAGTATTTTCCCCCATTTTTTTCTTTCCCCTTTATTCTATACCCAAGTTTTTATTTATTTTTTATTTATATTTATCTGTCATACTCCATATCCTATATACAAATTAAACAAACAAACAAATTATTTCAGGGTTTTTTTTAAATCAAAATTTGGATTGCTAAAAAAAAAAAATACAGTATCCCAAAAACAGGATGTTTCTTTTTGCTAAGTGATTTTTGTTTTCTTCCCCCCCCACTATATATTATACACACAAAAATAGAGCATAACCCCACATTCCTAGATCCTCTCTTTCTAGATTTCATCCGCCACTTTCAAGGAGAGAGTGTAGGGAGGGATAGACGGAAAGCTTTCCCTGTGCCAACATGCAAATGCTGCATAACAATGCACTAATTAGCATAACATATAGTTCTCATCCTTATTACTCACGCCTGCTAAACCACCAGCAAGGAGCCTTTAATGGTGCTGTAGAACAGCTCTCTGCATTTACCATGTCACCACTTCTCCTGCTCTGACAGATCCTGCCAATCACCGATGAAATTATGGACACATTTCATCTGGCACCAAGGGGAATGCGGACTGGAAATCTGGATGAAGACAATAAAGGAATGGTCAGAGAATTAAGGGAAGGGAGAAGAGGAGAGTGAAGAAAAAGAGGCAGGGAGCTAGAAGAAAAGAGGGTGATGTCACTGGCTCATGATGGCAGCCAATCAGAGACGGGGAGAGGCAGCGAGGGAGCCAGGAGAGGGTGTGTTTTCCTCGCACTGCAGCATCAGCAGTGAAGAGAGGCCACAATCAATCTGACTCGGAGCAAGAGACACAAGAACCTTCAGGGACAGATAAAACAGAGTTGCCAGAGGAGGACAGAAACCTGAAGCCGTTTCGAAACTACAGAGGTAAGTGGCGAAGGTTGTCAGTGAGAATGTCAATAGCATTTAGTGTCATTTAGTGTCAAACAGAATTGGCTGGTTATTGCAAATTTTTCATGTGGTTTGATGATCACACCTTTGAGACTTAAGGTGCAATGATGTACACATTATATTACAAAAAAGTGGTATTTCAAGGTGCTCCAAAGAATACCTGTTTATACCATGATTTTGTTATGTAGAGCTGCTTATTTTAGGTTAGCCTCAGTTTATCTCCTTGCAAAGGAATTTTGACTAGTTGCCTGTCGCTGAAGTCTTTCTAGGATAAATCACTCAGAATTGATTATTGACACAGTGTCTGTAGATGGCACACAGGTGCTTGGGCCATGAGAGTGCGGCGTGATATCCATTCTGTGCTCCACATCCATCATACTGTAGGTGCTCTTGCTTTTACTGTACCATACAAACAGTCTGTGTGCACAGAAAAATATGATCTGCCTCTGCAAAATCTTCTCCTCTGAGGCAGAGGCTTTAATTGAGCTGTGTGCACAGATGGATGGACGGGCTGGAGAGATTTAAGAGGGATGAAAGAAAGGAAAGAGGGTGGGGTCACGTTTGACAGGCGAAGCCGTTGCGCAGGCCGATAATATATGTGCACTTATGACATCTAGAGATTAACAGGGAGAGAGAGAGACTGGGTGCAAGGTCAACACGGGAAGGGACAGGAGCGGGGAGGGGTCTATTAAAAGGACGACTGTGAAAATGAGCCATTCTTTGATGGCATCCGTTTTGACATCCGAAATACTATCATAGGCTACATCCACATTAATCCAGATTTAAAAGCACTTTTTCTTTACATTTTGTCAGCCAAAATGTACAAATTTTTACTGTCTTTTGAAAGGCTGCATTTATTTGATCACAAATACAGTAAAAACAATAATACTGTGAAATATTACAATTTTAAATAACTAATTTGCTGATTTGTGCTCAATTATTATTAATGGTTCTTGTTATTATCAGTGTTGAAAGTTTTTGCTGCTTAATATTTTAGTAGAAATGGTGATACATTTTTTTCAGGATCTTTTGATGAATAGAAAGTTGATTTAAACTGCATTTATTTTAAAATCTTTTTTTATTTTATTTTATTTATTTATTTATTTTTTTGGTAACATAAGCGTCTTTACTGTCACTTTTGATCAAGTTAATGCATCCTTGCTGAATAAAAGTTCTCATTTTTTATCATACCTACCCAAAACCTTTGAATGATAATTTATCACGGTTTCCATAATTTTTAAGCAACAAAAGCTGTTTTCTAACATTTCATAATAAGAAATGTTTATTGAGCAGCAAATTCTGAAGGATCATGTGACACTGAAGACTGGAGCGATGACTGCTGAAAATTCAGTTTTTCCATCACAGGAATAAATTACATTTTAAAATATTTTCAAATAGAAACTGTTATTTTGAATTGTAAGAATATTTGAAAATATTACTGTTTTACTGTGCTTTTTATCAAATAATTGGAGAGCATAATAGACTTTTGTCCAAATTAATGTAGATGTAGCCATAGCAGCATGTAAGAATAACACTAAATGCAACTCTCAGATGCAGAGCATCTACGGAGGAGCTCTTGGGAGAAACGGCACAGCCCGCTAGTCTCCACAGCCACCTGTTATCGCCTTAGGGCTTCTGTGTCGCTGGCACATCCTGCTCCCGCACACACACCAGGCAAAAAATCCCCCCATAACACCTGTTTTAAATACCCGTGCAGTAAAGCTTTACAACCTACTGCTGCCGCTCTGCTGACGGGGTCAGCCGCCACAGAAAGACAGACACATTAGTTAAACCCATTTGCAGAGGCTGGCGAGGCTGCGGTTGGAGGGGCTCTCTGCAGACAGGAGGGGGATGACAGTGGCATGGCAGAGAGGGTCAGACGAGCCTGGAGGACGGCAAGGAGGGGAGCAGGATGCATTAGGATGATTTAAAGGGCACACAATGATGAAGCTGGCCTGTTAGGGCAGAATAACCACTAATAGGTGGAAAAGTGTCTGTAACTTGAGTTTCTACATGAGCTCATGAGATGTGAGGAGGAGGAAGGAGGGTGGATGGTGAAGCCTAAGATGCACAGCAGCTCAATTTATTTGGATACTTAAGGCACATATATAAAAATAAATGAATGCCATTGCTTTAGCTATTGTATATGTAATGAAATGAAATTCATGAATTAAGTGTGACATAACCCATTTCTTTGGTGCCCTTTATATGTGGACTGCAGTAGAAAACCTGCAAGTGTTGAGAAGATGAAGTTTCCACAAAGTGCACTAGGGAATAGGAATCAAGAGAGAAGATGAGAAAGTAACTGAGGAGAGAATGAATTTCATTTGTAACCCTGTAAAAAAAAAAGTAAATTTTCATGTAAAAGCATTAGAAAAAGCGATGCCAAGCTTTGAACAATCCTCTTTATTGTCCTTTTCGGCACACACAAATGTGATTTTTATTTTTTATTTTTTCCTCCTTCAAGGCTGTATCTTTATACGTGCATTGCCAGGCAAAATACTTCTCTAGACTGCAATCAGAGTAATGGGTTCTCGAGAATGAATTGCAGGGTTTTTTTTTTTTTTTTTAAACCCCCACGTGGAAAGCTTCACTAAATGAAGCCAATCATGCAGTTGAGGCCATAATGCAGCTGTCTCAAACAGTTGGTCCTAAATATGCTGATGAAATTAACTTAAGCTGATAGAGGTCACTTTAAATCGCTCAATTCTTCAGATTTAATCACCAAAAAGCAGGTGTAAGTTTGACGATAAATCAAAATAAACCTACATCGTCAACTTACAGTTCAAACCCGTCTTGGGCAACGGTTTTCTTCTCGTAGCCTGTCTGATTATTACAGCAGAAGTTCTTCGAAACACTTTTTATTTGAAATGTGTAGGATGACTGACAACATAAAGCAACAAAGTCAAAAACTGTAATGAGAAAATGCAGCTGTGCTAAAACAAGTTCAGTCTCCTCCCACAGCTGGGTGAAATAAAGTTGTCTCTTTGTTTGACAAACATTTGCCTCATTCAATGAAACACGCATTATTGACCAAATGAATGAGTGAGCTCAGTGTGAATCTCTGCTTTGTGAGAGGTCTCTCTGTTGTCTTGTAGAGTACTGTGAGGAGATGTGTATTCTACTGACATGGAGTTCTTTGTAGTTTTTCCCGTAATAGCAATTTTACTATATTTCTAAATTATTTGAATGTTGATTAAACAGTGCATCAACCTTCACATGATGCTTACAGCTGCACTGAATCATTTTGTACATCATTTATTGAAAATCTGCTGTTTGGAAGATTTGTTATGAGATGACCTGGACTGGAATGGGTGACCATATTGTGGCCGTGGGCTGACGGTCTGCTAGATTAATGACTGTGGAGATCTTCAAAACAGCCTTTGTAGATCTGTGGCTTCTTTCTTATCATAATTACAATTTGTACAATTAATTTGAGAGTTTTAATGTCTATAGACAGTAACAGGAAATAGAATGGGAAAAATTAGTGGTTTTGAGATCTCCTGAGAACACATAAGTGTCTGAGGCGGTTTATGATCCTAGACCAAGACCACAGGCTATTTCCACAATCTTTTTATATCAGGAAAGACATCTTCATAGCTGGTCTTGTCACTTACCCCCAATGTAATGAGAGTGTATATATAAAAGGATATTTTTCTTAATCATTTATGGGAAATGTTGTTTTCTTCGATAATATTTTAATAGCATTTTAATGATTTTGATAGTACCTGAGACCTTGTAACACTGAGTCACATGACACCGGGGAGAGAAAATGGCTAATTGTGCCCAATTCTGACATTTTCACTTAGGGGTGTACTCCCTTTTGTGGCCAGCGGTTTAGACATTAATGGCTGTGTGTTGAGTTATTTTGAGGGGACAGCAAATTTACACTGTTATACAAGCTGTACACTCACTACTTTACATTGTAGCAAAGTGTCATTTCTTCAGTGTTGTCACATGAAAAGATATAATAAAATATTTACAAAAATGTGAGGGGTGTACTCACTTCTTTGAGATACTGTGTATGTGTATGTGTATGTGTATGTGTGTATATATATATATATATATAACCTAGATAGATAGATAGATAGATAGTGGTAGTTTATATTTTGTCATTCAGCATTTCTTTTATTTAATTTCATTAATTGACATCCTGGTTCACGGACTGATAGGTCTAAATCTAAATGACTATAGATATAAATTATCTATACCTGATAACCTACATGCCACTATTGTCCACTAGTCCATTCAAATCCATCTCAACATTACTAAAGATCACTTAAAATTTATAGTTTTTGATATGTATTTTTTAAATCTTTAATATAGTGATATTTTTAATATTTTATTTTTAATGTGTTAAAATAGTTTTATTAATTTATATCTTTATAATATTTCAATATACTTTTTGTATATTTTAGCATTTAACATTTTCCCTGTTTCAGTTCATTAAAATGGACAGTCTGGTTATTGGACTCACAGAACTGGGTTTAGTCTCAATGGGTCTCATTTCAATCTGGATACGGGTTTAATCTGAATCTAGTTTGGGTCTTAATAGATCTAGTCATGGTCTGGGTCTTGATAAGTCTAGTTTTGACCTGGTAATGGTCTGGTCTTGACTCCAGCTCAGCTTTCCAGTGCGTTTCAGTCCTCCAGTGGTATAACTGTGAGTTTGTTTGTAGGTTTGTGTGCCAGGCCTGGAGCTTTGAGTGTTTGTTCTAGTGAAGTCAAAAGCGTTATGCTAGGCATGATATATTCATTACTGCAGGATCAGTGCTCTGGTGAGTGTGATCCCCATGCACTCCGCTAATTTAATCTCACCTACTGTGTCGTTTTATTTCACACTGCACCCGCCAACCACCCAGAAGCACATTCAGACCTGGGGATGGTGGGGCAAGTCAGGACCAAGGAAAGATACAACACATCCCTCTTACAGAGCCAGTGGTCCGATAGATGATAATCAAGAGAGAAGAATCACA